TTCTTGAACCCCATGTAGGCCTTTCAGCAGCTGTCTTTTTCTAAGACCTCCATTGTTTTAATCAGATTATGCCACAATAGGGTAATAACCATGCTGCCTTTGGTTAATGATAACTAAAAAGGTAGATTCTTTTAAAAACAGCAGTTCCAGCTTTGATCAATTGATTTCTCTTTAGTCATTTTAACAAGTAGACTTGTTAACAGTTAATATTTTTGCTTTAGCTGTCTAGTAGATAGTATTAATTTGCCAAAAGTTGTTACAAGTTTTCTTTGATATAGTAGAAGTCTTTTTACCTATTGCTATTCTATCTTATATAGCTTATTGTTAATTGAAAAAGTTGGTTAAAGCAGGAGATTAAAATGATACATACACACCATAAGCATTTTATTTCAGTTTGAAACAAATAAATATACATTTATTCACCAACCTTATGATGTATTAAGTATACGCCTGCTGATTAGAGTTCTTCATCTTTTTGGCATTAATTACATCCTGTGATTCATTGCTTGAAACTTCCAATTACAGTTTTTCTAAGTGGAGTGAGAGCTCTTAGTTACTTGAAACAATGAGTATAGGCTCCTCCTGGATTTTTTAATTTGCCCTAGGCTTATTTATGTGTCTTAACACACTTAAATTGAGGACAGTTTATTCATTTATTTTTAATTGAATTTATTGGGGTGAAGTTGGTTAATAAAATTATACAGATTTCAGGTATACAATTCTATAATACATCATCTGTATATTGTATTGTGTGTCTACCACCCCAAGGACAGTTTTTCAAATTATTTCTATTTAGTCTTCTAGAGCCTTCAACTTAGTTTTCAAAGAAAGAGCAACTTTTTTACACTCATAGTTTATTAATACACTTAGGATTTCAGTATAATTATGTAATTATAATTATGGGCACAACTGGCATTGAGTAGTTTTGAGAACAAGTACACTGATCCAAGAGTAGTGTAGTGGGAGCAGAAATGCCCCCATACCAGTGTTGCCTGTTAGCTACCAGTGTTCAGTCAGGGGTATGGGCAGTGCATGGTAAAGGGAATGGAGAATATCAGGTAAACTGTCACATTAAGAGGTAAAAGGATGTCTAGCTTATTTGGTAAACATTTTTTTAAAAATATATTTTATTGATTTTTTACAGAGAGGAAGGGAGAGGGATAGAAAGTTAGAAACATCAATGAGAGAGAAACATCTATCAGCTGCCTCCTGCACACCCCCTACTGGGGATTTGCCTGTAACCAAGGTACATGCCCTTGACCGGATTCGAACCTGGGACCCTTCAGTCCGCAGGCCGACGCTCTATTCACTGAGCCAAACCGGTTAGGGCTGGTAAACTTTTTAATGTAATATACACAAAATGAAATGCAGACTGCTTAAGGGAACCATTTGATACATTTTGACACAGTGAACACACCCATAATAACCATTATTTAGGTCATGGTTATAAGACATTACTAGTATCCTAGAAGCCTCCCTTGTGCCCTCACCCAGTTTCTCTCTCACCACTATTCTGACCTCTATTACTATAGATTAGTTTTGCTAGTTCATGACTTTCATATAAATGGAATCATACAACATGTACTCTTTTACACCTGACGTTTTCCACTTAGCATCGTTTTTGAAAGTCATCCGTGTTATATTGGTAGCTTGTTCTTTTTCATTGTGGCATAATATTCTATTCTGCGAATATGCCACAATTTGTTTATCCATTCTGTCATTCATAGATGTTTAGCTTTGTTTCTAGTTTTGGACTCTTACAAATAATGCTGCTATAAACATTCTTGTACATTACCTTGATACACATATACATACATTTTTGTTGAGCATATACTTTGGAGTGGGACATCAGGATCATAGGATATGCTTATGTTCCACTAGCAATATGTGAGAATCAGTTACTCCACATTCACCAATGGCACTTAAAAAAAACTTTATTATGTACTTATTTATTTTGTCATTTTGTTTATGTTGTATACTTGTTTTTTAAAAATATTATGTAGAATATTTATGAAATCACCATCTAACCTAAGCAGTTTAATATTGAATATTGACAATATCTTACATATTCTCCTAATGTCCCCTTGGCTTTCAAGGTAAGTGCTATTCTAAATTTATTTTTTATTCTTTTCATTGCCTTCTCAAATAATAGTTTTATTTGAAACTATTTATCAGATACATATGTGTGTCTAAATAATATATTGTCTAATGTTAGTTGTATTTGAATTATGTCTCCTTTTTTCCCCCCATAGTCGTATTTGAATTTTTAAAGTTTTTTAAAATTAAATTTTATTGATTTTTTACAGAGAGGAAGGGAGAGGGATAGAGAGTTAGAAACATCGATGAGAGAGAAACATCGATCAGCTGCCTCTTGCACACCTCCTACTGGGGATGTGCCCGAAACCAAGGTACAGGCCCTTGACCCGAATCAAACCTAGGACCCTTCAGTCTGCAGGCTGAGGCTCTATCCACTGAGCCAAACCGGTTAGGGCTGTATTTGAATTTTTAAAAAAGATATGCTGTATGTAACCTGGAAATTGATTTTTCTTTCTTTTTTAATGCTTAACATTATATTGCTAAAATTTATCCATATTGTTACATATAGTTGTAGTTGACTCACTTTCTCTGCAATATATCATTTAGTACAGGGGTCCTCAAACTACGGCCCGCGGGCCACATGCAAATACAAATATTGTATTTGTTTCCGTTTTGTTTTTTTACTTCAAAATAAGATACGTGCAGTGTGCATAGGAATTTGTTCATAGTTTTTTTTTAAACTATAGTCCGGCCCTCGAACGGTCTGAGGGACAGTGAACTGGCCCCCTGTTTATTTATTTATTTTTTTATTGCTTAAAGTATTACAAAGAGTATTACATATGTCTCCTTTTTTTTCCCCCCCCGCCCTTGACAATCCCCTGCTGGCCCCCTGTTTAAAAAGCTTGAGGACCCCTGATTTAGTGAATACATCACAACTTACTAATTTTCCTGTCAATAACATTTGGATTGTTTCCATTTCTTACTATTATGAAGTCTACATGTTTTTGCATGTACCATGAGGAAGAATTTCTCTTTGTACTTAGGAATGTAATTTCTGGGTCATAGGATTGTAAATGTTTTACTTTACAAAAGAATGCCTATATTCCAAAGAGGTTGTACCAGTTTATACTCCTGCCAGCAGTAGATCAGAGATGAAATCATGTTCATTATGAGAGAATTTAAAATTACAACCTCAATTACTTTTAGAGATATAGGGCTATTTAAATTTTCTATTTTTGTGTGTATCTGTTCAGTAACTGGCATTTTTTAAGAAATTTATTCTCTAAATTTTTGATTGTATTTACATACTGTTGTCTCTATTATATTTTTGTCCATAAAATCTATTCTGATTCTTTTATTTAGAAGATCACTAATTCATATTTTACATAAGCTCACTCAACTTTAATATATTTTTATTGATTTCAGAGAGGAAGGGAGAGGGAGAGAGAAATAGAAACATCAATGATGAGAGAGAACCATTGATCGACTGCCTCCTGTATGCCCTCCACTAGGGATCAAGCCCGCAGCCAGGCATATGCCCTTGACTGGAATCAAACCCAGGACCCTTCAGTCCACAGGCTTGTATCCACTGAGGCAAACCAGCCAGGGCTATACTGATTCTTTTTTAAAAAAAACTGAATATTGTTTTTGGTTTTTTTCCTTGATCAGTATTTCTAGGGATATTTTTGCTGGGCTGACAAGTAAATTTTTTCTTTCATAGTTTTAAAATCTTAATGCATTACAAATTTTAAAAATTTTGGTAAAATACATGTAATATAAAATTGACCATTTAAACCAGTGGTTCTCAACCTTCCTAATGCCGCGACCCTTTAATACAGTTCCTTATGTTGTGGTGACCCCCAATTTCATTGTTACAAATTAAACATAATTAAAGCATAGTGATTAACCACAAAAACAATATGTAATTATATATGTGTTTTCTGATGGTCTTAGGCGACCCCTGTGAACGGGTCGTTCAACCCCCAAAGGGTTAGCGACCCACAGGTTGAGAACCGCTGATTTAAACCATTTTATTTTATTTTTTATGCTTGGTGTAATCTTTTTTAAAAAAATCTTGCCTGGTGTAGCTCAGTGGTTGAACATTAACCTATGAACTAGGAGGTCATGATTCAATTCCCAATTGGGGCACATGCCTGGGTTATGGGCTTGATCCCCAGTGTGGGGCTAATCAGTGATTCTCTCTCATCATTGATGTTTCCATCTCTCTCTGCCTCTCCCTTCCTCTCTGAAATCAATAAAAATATATTTTAAAAAATAAAATAAAATTCCTTTGTGTGCTTCCCATTCACCCCCAGCCCCAAGTTTTTTGCAATTGTATTTGAGCTGGGAAACCTGAGGAGAGATTAGAAATAGGAAATTCTAGAGGAAGAAAAAAGACCCTTGATTTGGACAGGAAGAGCAGGTAGCAAGAAAGATCTTAGGGAGTGATGAGATAATAGTTTGTAAAGCAGAGATGGGGATAATATTTTTGAGATAGATACAAAATATAAGATGTCTAAGAGAACATGCTTCCTGAAATAAGAAGATGGTTTGATTCTAAGATTAAAGTTTCTAAAAGAGCAAAACATTGCTTTTTATAGCCATACTAGAGGCCCAGTGCAAGAAATTCGTGCACAGGTAGGGTCCCTAGCAGCTGCTGGCTGCCGGCCAGGGCCTCCCTTCCCTGGCTGCCGGCTGCCAGCTGGAGCCTTCCTTCATTCCACACCACCCCCTGGTGGTCAGAGTATGTTATTGTGAGCGATCGAACTCCCAGTTGGTCAAACTCCCGAGGGGACACTTTGCATGTTTGGCTTTTATATATATAGATTTTTTAGAGTACTTTTCTTCTAATCACTAGTTTTGTTTAGAAAAAATGCAAAACAAAACCTGTGGATATCTTTCAGAAATTTTGTACAAATAGCTATTACTATAACTGTAATTATGTGTATTTTTCCTCCCTCTAGAATCATCCTGGAGAGACATGAATGTCTGCAATGATATTTCCTGATAAGAAGATAATAGAAAGAAAGGAGATCACCAGTTAGCAGAATTTCAAATAACCAGGATTTTGTACTTAACACCTCCAACTACAGACTTCTCTTGCCTACCTTTAAATCAGAGATAACTACAATCAGAACCCAGACAAGGCAAAAGAATACTTTACTTCTGTATCTTTTGAGATAAAAGAAACTGCAATGTCCAGGAAACAAAACCAGAAGGGTAAGAATATATATGGGCATAAATTGTTAAAAGCATAGTTGTGGAGTAATGATCAACATTTATATCTGTATTTTTAAAAAGCATTCTCTTAATGTGTTTTGAATGGTTATACTTTCCCTCACCCTGTACAGTACTACTGTTAGTTACAACTTTTTATCATGACAGAAATTAATTTTAGAAGAGTACAGAACATTCATAACTTTATCTGTTACCTCATTAACTAAGTATCTGTAGATATTACTTTACAGCTTTGTGTATTACTACTTTTGGAATTCATATAACACTTGCTTTTCTTATCTTAGAAACCTAATAAATTGGAATATACTTGCAGGATGGCCAAATGCCTCTTGAAAATGTACTTTTTGGAGAGTGAACATATGTTAGGGGGGATGTTAGGAGATAATATACTGCAGAATATTCTGTATCCTTTGAGTTGATTTTTCATTGGAGATAGGAAATGAAGCAAGAGAAAATGTTTCTAGATTTTGATTCCTTCTTTAGCTTTCCTTCTGGGATCATTACTCTAGTTTCTTGTCAAAAGTAAAATATAAGGTCCAGAGAGTCAAGAAATAATCAAGAATAATTATAAGGAGGGAAGGACAACAGGACTGTATAAAATCACTTTTCCATTTCCTAGAATAGCTGCAAAAAGGTTAAGGGACAGATTTAACAATAGCACTAGAACTGTTATACACAACTGGAATATATTTATTAAGGGAATGACGATAGCTATTCTGGCTCCTCTCCCCCTCATTCAATTTAATTTTCAATTTAATGTTCTTTAATAGAAAACAAAGCTGTAGATACTACAGATCTCACATGTTAAATATGAAAAAAAATGCTTTTAAACTTAATTCTGACATTGTAGTTACTACTAAAAACCTCATTATAAGAAAAATATATCAAAGCTCCTTTTGGTCTTGAGACTGTTGTTTCATTGTATAGTAAATCAATATAAAGACAACCTGGGCTCTAAGGAACAGTTAGATTACTAAAGAAGCTAAACTGTTCTATGGAATGCGATTTATCAACTGAAAAGTTTTTATAACCCTTTTGTTTCTTTTTTAAACTTTAATTTCATCATAATTCAGTTTGCTTTTCCCCCAGTTATGCTTGAAACACTGATATCTGTTTTCCTCCTGCAAATGAGAAACATTATAGTAAAAATAGGATTCCAAACTTTAAAATAAAATAATTTATTCTAAAAGGTTAGCATTTAATTTTTCCTAAAGAGTTAACTTTAGCAGATTGCTCTGACCTCTAAAAACCTAGTCTTTGTTTATTTCATGTCTGTGTTTTGCTAGAGTTATAAAAATGTCTTGATTACTGTAGCTTTATAGTATTCTTGAAGTCAGGTAGCATCACTTCTTCAACATCGTTCTCCTTCAATATTGTGTTAGCTGTTCTGGATCTTTTGTCTTTCCATATTAACTTGAGACCAGTTTGTCAATATCCACAAAATAAATTACTGGGGATTTTGATTGGGATTGCTTTTAATATATATTAAATATACTAGAGGCCCGATGCATGGATTTGTGCAAACAGGGGGGTCCCTCGGCCTGGCCTGCAGGGATCATCGGGCCAAAATGGGCTCTCCGACATCCCCTGAGGAGTCCCAGGTTGCTAGAGGGCGGTTCTCCGGTGATGCTCCCTGGAATCCAGCTCCCTCTTCTCTGGCTCCAGGTGTGTCACCACAGCTCAGCAGCTCCTGCGTTGAGCATTTGCCCCCTGGTGGTCATTGTGCATCATAGCTACTGATCCAACGGTCAGACGGTCGCTTAGGCTTTTAGATAGATTGTGTGTGTGTGTGTGTGTGTGTGTGTGTGTGTGTGTGTGTGTGTGTATGTGTGTATAATTTCAGAGAGAAGGAAGAGAGAAACATCAGTGATGAGGGAGAATCATTGATTGGCTGTTTCCTGCATGCCCCCTACTGGGGATCAAGCCCATAACCAGGGCATTTGCCCTGACCAGGAATCAAACAGTGAGCTCCTAATTCATAGGTCAATGCTCAGCCATGAACCACACCAGCTGGGTTTAGGATTGCTTTTAATCTACATACCAAGTTGGCAAGAACTGACATCTTGACAATATTGAGTCTTCCTATCCACAAACATAGACTGTCTTTCTATTTATTTAGTTCTTTTCTTTCTTTAGAGTTTTGTAGTTTTCCTTGTATAGGTCTTATGCATACTTTCTTAGATTTATACCCAAGTATTTTTGGGGTGTTAAAGTAAATGGTATTGTGTTTTTTATTTTAAACTAGAGGCCCTGTGCATGAAAATTCACACACTTGGGTGTGTCCCTCAGCCCAGCCTGCGCCCTCTCGCAGTCCGGGAGCCCTCAGTGGATGTCTGACTGACAGCTTAGGCCCGCTCCCTGGAGGGGAGGCGACCTGGCAGGCTCATCAGGGGACGGAGCCAGTTGGTGAGCAGCCACCTCCCCAACCCCTGCTGCTGCAGCCGCCACCGGTGGCCTCCCTCTGCATGAGGTGAACCCAGCGAGCTGATTTGGGGAAGGTGCTAAACAGCCCCGCCCCAAATTGCCTGGAAGCCACTGCAGCCACCAGTGGCCTCCCTCTGCGGGAGGCGATCAGGGCGGGCCTATCAGGGGACGGCCGGCCCAGGGAGCAGTGGGCACTGACCACGCCCATCACACCTCCTCTGCCACTGGTCACTGCTGCCCCATGATTGCCATCACCTCCCTCTGCCCACTGGCACGCGCCTTGGCTGGCCTGGCACCGCCTGCTCGCCCGCCCTCCACTAACCGGTAGTTCTGCTGTTTGGTCAATTTGCATATTACCCTTTTATTATATAGGATTCCGTGTATTCATTGCTGTTACAGTGATGAACTTCTGTATCTTAACCTTGTATCCTGCAAAGTTGATATAATCATTATTAGTTCCAGAAGTTTTAAATGACATTTATTTTTAAAGTTTATTATTGACATTAAAAAATATGTTTTTATTGAATTTTAGAGAGAGAGGAAGGAAGAGGGAGAGAGAAATAGAAACATCAATTGGCCTCCACCAGGGATAGAGTCTGGGCATGTGCCCTGACTGGGAATCTAACCGGTGACCTCTTGGTGCACAGGATGATGCTCAACCAGTGAGCAATACCAGCTGGGCTATTATTGAAATTTTAAGCTTATCAAAAATAGAATGGTATGGTGCACTCACCAATAACCATAATTCAGGTCCAATAATTAACAATACATGGCCAATCTTTTTTGTGTATACTTTAACCCCCAGTGGATTATTGTTATTATTATTATTTTTGTTTATTTGTTTGTAAATCCTTCACCCGAGGATATCCGTCCATTTATTTTTAGGGAGAGTTGAAGAGAAAGGGAAAGACAGAGAGAAGCATTGATGTAAGAGAAATACATTGATTGGTTGCCTCCTGCATGAGCTCCGACCAGGGCCCAAGCGGGGGAGGAGCCTGCAACCAAGGTACGTGCCCTTGACTGGAATCAAACACAGGGCTCTTTGGTCCTCAGGCTGACGCTCTATCCAACTGAGCCAAACCGGCTAGGACTATTATTTTTAATGTTCAAGGATCTCTGAACTTTTTTATTGGCCTTCTGTCCCGCACCCCCATGCTCTCACCAAGGAGTACCCCATTTCTGCTGCCTTAATACCTCAGAACTTTGGTGTCATTGACCTTAGATACCACTTTGCTGTCCACAATCCTACGCTGGTGGTCTTTTGAATGGATTGCATGGAGTTGCTGTTGTCCAGGGCATCACCAAGATGGAAGTCCTCCCCTTCTTCCAGCAAGCAGTAGTAGGTGGTGATCTCAGCCTCCAGCTTGACTTTGATGTTCAGCAGGGCCTTGTACTCTTGGACCTGGCACTTTCCCTCTGCCCAGGTCTGGGCCAGCTCTGACTCTAGCTGCAGCAGGATCCCATTGAGCTGCTCCATCTGCATGGCATAGCACATCTCCACCTCCCACAGGCTGTTCTCCAAGCTGGCCTTCAAATTTTTCATGGAGTCCAAGTTGATCTCCAAGGACTGGACTGTATATCTCAGCCCCGTGAGTGTCATCTCAGGAACTCCTATCTCAGCAGTCTGTGAGGTGACCACTGTGGTGCTCTCCTCTGTGACCAATAATTGTCTAGCTGGGACCAGTACTTGTCTAGCTCCCCTCCTTTCCTCAGAGTCAGCTCGTCATACTGGGCCCAGATGTCCGCCATGATCTTGCTGAGGTCCTGAGATTTGGGGGTATCCAACTTCCCAGTCAACACTGAGTCAGCAATCTAGTTTGGTAGAACATTTACTTCCTCCTTGTTCTTCTTCATGAAGAGCAGGTCCTCCTTGAAAGCCTTGCTCTCTATTGCCAGCTGCAGCTGAGTGATATTAATGTCATCAATGACCTTATAGAGCTCATTGATGTCACTCTCCACTGACTAGCGCATGGCCAGCTCTGTCTCATACTTGACTCTGAAGTCAGCAGCAGCAGGACAGACATCATCAGTCAGCAGAACGATGTGGGTTTTGTCCACAGAACTTTCAAAAAATCTGAGCCCTCGGGTCCTCAGTTGTCTTTGAAATAATGCCCCCAGTCTCTGACCTGGGGTCCCTTTTTCTCCAGGTGTTCCTGAACTTGATATCCAGTATCCAATTATCAGCCTCCAGGCTTCTCACCCTCTCCATGTAGGAGGCCAGGCCATCATTCAGGCATTGCATAGTCTTCTCGCTCTGGATACTCCCTGTGCCCAACAGACCCCCAGCCATCCCTGCAGCCAGGCCCCGGGACCTTCAGCTGTCCCACACACTGGTGGAGTGGGACACAGAGATCCAGGAGCCAGAGCCCCTGCCACCTACATACCTGGTAGATGCTAACTGTGCTGCTTGTTGCCCGGGCTTGGTCACTGGCAACTGCACTGAGTCCAGGGTCCAGTAGTTTGTGGAGAAGCTGGAGTGGGTGCTGAAGCTCAGGTTGTTCAGGGAGGAAGGCAAGAAGCTGAGACTCCGGTTCAAGTCACCCCCCAGCCGATTATTTTGAAGCAAGTTTCTGACATCATCGCAGGGAAAGACTTTTTTTTTAATCCTCACCTGAGGATATGTTTTTACTGATTTTTTTATTTTTTATTTTCGAAGAGAGAGAAACATCGATTTTGGAGAGAAACGTCGATCAGTTGCCTCCTGTATGCACCTCGACTGTGGGTTGAACCTGCAACCTAGGTATGTGCCCTAACCAGGAATTGAACCTGCATCCTTTTGGAGTATGGGATGATGCTCCAGCCAACTGAGCCACCTAGCTATGGCACAGGGACTTTTTAAATAGACATAAAAAGCACTAATCAGGAAGAAAAAGAATGTTGCTGCATTGTTACATTAAAATTAAGAACTTCTGTTCATCAAAAGGCACAGTTAAGAGAATGGGAGAATAAATTTGCATCATATTTAAAGAACAGGGAACTACTATAGACCAGTAAGAAAAAGATAATTCTGCCTTCTAACTCTGGGCAAGAGTAGGCATGCCAGAAAAAAGAATATCAAAATGGCTGATAACATGTAAAGGCACTCAGTCTTTTTTGTTGTTAATCCTCACCTGAGGATATTTTTTCCATTGATATTTAGAGTGGAAGGGGTGGGGTCAGAGAGAGGGAGAGAGAAAAACATGGATGTGAGAGAGACACATCATTTGGTTGCCTCCCACATGTGCGCCTATTTGGCCCGGGGATCAAATCTGCAAGCCAGGTACATGTTCTTGATTAGGAATTGATCCCATGATCCTTTGGGTGTGAGGGCCAACACTCTAACCACTGAGCACACCAGCCAAGGCAGCACTCCATCTCTTTAGAAATGAGTGAAATGCAAATTGAAATGATATTTAGATGTGGCTCGGTTGGTTGGAGTGTCGTCTGGTGCACCAAAAGGTCAAAGGTTTGAGTCCCAGTCACATGCATACCTATGTGTAGGCTCTATCCCCGGCTCTGTCAATCAGGACAAGTGTGAGAGGCAACTGGTTGATGTTTCTCTTTCACATCGATGCCGCCCTCTCTCTCTCTCCCTCCCTCCCCACCTCTCTCCTCCCCCCCCCCCACCCCTTCCTCTCTCTCTAAAACATCAATGAGCATGTCTTTGGGTGATAATTAAAAAAAAAAAAAATTAATAATGCCAAGAGAGTGAGTATGTGGAGCATTAGAAACTTTTAAAAAACTGCTAGTGGAAGTTTAAATTGGTATTTTGAAAAATTGTTCGACATTATGTATTAAAGTTGAAGATATACATACCCGATGACTAGGTTGTATTTCTGGGTATGTTCGGCAGAAAGGCATTCCCAAGTATGTGAGGAGATTGTATAAGAGTATTCAAAACAGCATTATTTGTATTGGCCAGAAACTAGAAGCAACCCAGTTGTCCACTATCAGAATAAACAATGGCATAATCATACAATGAAATATTATTAAGCAAGGAAAATGAACAAATTATTTACTTGTAAGAACATGCATGAATTTTACAAACACAATGTTGAACAAAACAAGCCATGCCCCCAAATTAAATACATGTGGAGTTAGTCCTTTTCAGACAAAAGCAAAGCTATACCATAATACTTAGGTATGTGTTTTTAGTTGGTAGCAACTATAAAGAAAGGAAGTTTAGTTACCTTTGGTGAATGGGAGGAGCTATAGGAGGGGGGTACATGAGGAGATTTCTAGGGTATTAGAAATGTTTTATTTCTTTTTTTTTTTTTAATCTTTATTGTTCAGATTATTACAGTTGTTCCTCTTTTTTCCCCCCATAGCTCCCCTCCAACTGGTTCCCACCCCACCCTCCGCCCTCACCCCCCCTACACTGTCCTCATCCATAGGTACACGATTTTTGTCCAGTCTCTTCCCGCATCCCCCATACCCCTTTCCCCCACAAGAATAATCAGTCCACTCCCTTTCTATGCCCCTGATTCTATTATAATCACCAGTTTATTCTGTTCATCAGATTATTTATTCACTTGATTTTTAGATTCACTTGTTGATGGATGTGTATTTGTTGTTCATAATTTGTATCTTTAGCTTTTTCTTCTTCTTCCTCTTCTTAAAGAATATCCTTCAGCATTTCATATAATCCTGATTTGGTGGTGATGAACTCCTTTAGCTTTTTCTTCTCTGAAGCTCTTTATCTGACCTTAAATTCTACATGATAGCTTTGCTGGATTAAGTAATCTTGGTTGTAGGTTCTTGGCATTCATCACTTTGAATATTTCTTGCCACTCCCTTCTGGCCTGCAAAGTTTCTGTTGAGAAATCAGCTGACAGTCGTATGGGTACTCCCTTGTAGGTAACTGAGTTTCTTTCTCTTGCTGCTTTTAGGATTCTCTCTTTGTCTTTTGCTCTTGGCATTTTAATGATGATGTGTCTTGGTGTAGTCCTCTTTGGATTCCTTTTGTTTGGGGTTCTCTGCGCTTCCTGGACTTGTAAGTCTAT